TAGGAGTCACTATGGTGTAAGAGAGAGGCTACAGATAGTGTTGAAAGTGGAGTCAATCTAGGAGTCACCATGGTGTAAGAGAGAGGCTACAGATAGTGTTGAAAGTGGAGTCAATCTAGGAGTCACCATGGTGTAAGAGAGAGGCTACAGATAGTGTTGAAAGTGGAGTCAATCTAGGAGTCACCATGGGGTACGGGAGAGGCTATAGATAGTGTTGAAAGTGGAGTCAATCTAGGAGTCAACATAGGGTAAGGGAGAGACAGGGAGAGACCGCAGATAGCTAGTGCTGAAAGTGGAGCCCTCAGATAAATCTAATTCAAAGTTTTGGTACAGTCTAGCCACTGGTGATGAGAATAGTGAGCAATACCATACTTATAAGAACAGAAAATTTATAACTGTATGACGATTACAAAAGCTGAATTGTGAAAAAGTTTAGTTTTACCAACCTATGATTGACAGGTTTATGAAGACTACAGAAGTAGCTAAAGTTAGTTCTATCATTTGTGGAAAAGTTTCGAGAACTGATAAAAGGACGGGGTAGTTACAAAACAGTTTATCAGAGTACATTGGCTAAATATTTGATACGTTTAGCCTATATCTATAGAAGAATGTATCCTAGTAAGTAGCAAACAATCTAATATACCCTCTGTTAACACGGAGCCAATGTTAAAATTTGAACAGTAGTTACGATAAGGATGTTGTAGAGCTATTACAAAAACGATAGATTATAACGTCATACATAAATTGTTCAGTTTTAGATAAGAAAGAACGTGTTTCTTGCATAGGTTACTACACAGTATAGTTTATGATATAAAACAACAAACACGTTCATAGTAATGGTTTGACTATGGAAACAGCTGACGGTCCTATACTATTTGGTTAGGTAGAAAGGAAAAGTCACTTAAAAACGGTTTACTACACAGTATAGTTTATGATATAAAACAACAAACACGTTCATAGTAATGGTTTGACTAAGGAAACAGCTGACGGTCCTATACTAATTATTTGGTTAGGTAGAAAGGAAAAGTAACTTTAAAAAACGGTTTACTAAGACAATGGACTTAGGAGCTCATAAAAAAATGGGAAGCAAAGAGAAACAAAGAACAATACGGTTTTTTTGGGGGCCGTTAGATCCTGCCTAAGACGTATAGGGCAGGGCAGCCCCTGAGTCAATATACACACAGGCAAATGAGAAACTGATCAAAGAGTTCTCCCATGTATTTTATCAGCTCTTGCCCTGGCGCACACGCTTTCAGTGGAGGCGAGCCCGTGTTCTCTACCCTCAATTACACAATGACAATTTTTAATATTGAAACCTTTTGATTCGTATTGTTTATCTTTTCGTCAAATGAACAACAGCTGAGACGGACGAGGTTACGGCGACTATTAGGAGAAAAGGGAAGCCAGGCCAGGCTGCCCCGCCCACCAGAAATCACAGAGGTAATGGTTAAATGCATCAGTCGGCTTTTAATAAAGTTTTAATCAATGAATGGGAACAGCTGTAAATCTCAGATTAAAAAGAAATAATTATTTAACAATGAAACTTTACCGGCAGGGTCATGTAGCTTTTTAAGTCCCTTGTCTGCGGCGTGGAAGAGAGCAATGGAGCAAGAAAAGCGTTTCTCTTCAACTTGAAAGTTTACAAACATCTGAAACACATAGAGCAAAACATCTGAAACACATAGAGCAAGAAAAGCGTTTCTCTTCAACTTGAAAGTTTACAAACATCTGAAACACATAGAGCAAGAAAAGAGTTTCTCTTCAACTTGGAAGTTTACAAACATCTGAAACACATAGAGCAAGAAAAGCGTTTCTCTTCAACTTGAAAGTTTACAAACATCTGAAACACATAGAGCAAGAAAAGCGTTTCTCTTCAACTTGAAAGTTTACAAACATCTGAAACACATAGAGCAAGAAAAGAGTTTCTCCTCAACTTGAAAGTTTACAAACATCTGAAACACATAGAGAAAGAAAATAGTTTCTCTTCAACTTGAAAGTTTACAAACATCTGAAACACATAGAGAAAGAAAATAGTTTCTCTTCAACTTGAAATTTTACAAACATCTGAACCACATAGAGCATGGAAAGCGTTTCTCTTCAACTTGAAAGTTTACAAACATCTGAAACACATAGAGAAAGAAAATAGTTTCTCTTCAACTTGGAAGTTTACAAACATCTGAAACACATAGAGCAAGAAAAGCGTTTCTCTTCAACTTGAACGTTTACAAACATCTGAAACACATAGAGCAAGAAAATAGTTTCTCTTCAACTTGAAAGTTTACAAACATCTGAAACACATAGAGCAAGAAAAGCGTTTCTCTTCAACTTGAAAGTTTACAAACAACTGAAACACATAGAGCAAGAAAAGCGTTTCTCTTCAACTTGAAAATCTACAAACATCTGAAACACATAGAGCAAGAAAAGCTTTTCTCTTCAACTTGGAAGTTTACAAACAACTGAAACACACAGAGCAAGAAAAAAGATTCTCTGCAACTTGAAAGTTTACAAACATCTGAAACACATAGAGCAAGAAAAGAGTTTCTCCTCAACTTGAAAGTTTACAAACATCTGAAACACATAGAGAAAGAAAATAGTTTCTCTTCAACTTGGAAGTTTACAAACATCTGAAACACATAGAGAAAGAAAATAGTTTCTCTTCAACTTGAAATTTTACAAACATCTGAAACACATAGAGCAAGGAAAGCGTTTCTCTTCAACTTGAAAGTTTACAAACATCTGAAACACATAGAGAAAGAAAATAGTTTCTCTTCAACTTGGAAGTTTACAAACATCTGAAACACATAGAGAAAGAAAATAGTTTCTCTTCAACTTGAAAGTTTACAAACATCTAAAACATAGAGAAAGAAAATAGTTTCTCTTCAACTTGGAAGTTTACAAACATCTGAAACACATAGAGAAAGAAAATAGTTTCTCTTCGACTTGAAAGTTTACAAATATCTGAAACACATAGAGCAAGAAAAGAGTTTCTCTTCAACTTGAACGTTTACAAACATCTGAAACACATAGAGCATTGGCGTCGATAGGTCGGGTGTTACTCGGTGCGGCACCTAAAAAAAAAATTAAATTAAATAATTGTAGGCTATATATTAGTGCGCACTTTAATTGACTCCGCCTATTAATTTGCAGTTGGAGTCACCCCCCCCCCCCCCCCTGGTAATAGCTTTAAAGTGATCACAGTTTATACCAACGATGCTTATCTATAGTCGATTGTTAAAACAGCTAGATGCAGCATTGTTTTCTGTATAATTTGCATGTTTACGTCAACTCTCCCCCCCCCCCCCCTGTTGGGATCGTCAATGTGTACTTAAATTCTAATTAGCCATTCATTAAACTGGCAAAAAGTATAATTATTCTATATATTTCTATAGGTTTTGTTTTGGAGTCACCCCCTTAAATGGTGTCACCCGGTGTGGTCAGCACCCCCCGCCCCTGCTTCACGACGCCTCTGAGATAGAGCAAGAATAGAGTTAACTTAAAAGTATAAAAACATCTGTTTACAAACATCTGAAACAGACAGAGCAAGAAAAAATGTTTCTCTTCAACTTGAATGTTTGCAAATATTCGAAACTACGACTAGCAACTTAAGCTGGATGTATTGTAGACAAATTGGGCTAGAGAAATCACACATGTAGACCAAATAGAAAAGCAATAAAATGGAACCATAAAAGGCTGCTGAAGACTAGACAAGATTTAGTATGTGGAGAGTAGCCTACCCTTGGCAGGCAACATTTTTGTTTTGGTTATGTATTTTTTAGTCTAAGCCCTTCTAGTAATTTCTTGGGTATGCAGCTGAAAAATGTACATCCATTAATGTATAGAAGAATATCTGGTACAATCCAAGACACTCAAGAAAGATACCAAAAGAAATAAAGTCTTAATTTATACAGCCCAGGTACGACGTGGCCTAGCTGTAGAGAGCCTGATTGCAAACCTAATAGCCTCGAGTTTGAGTCAAGGTTCAAGTCAGTCAAACTTCCATGAGTTCACCCAATTCTGATGGGTACCTTAATCATGTTAGGGAAAGTAAAGGCGGCTGGGTATAGTGTTAACCACACTATTCCTTTCATAATCCGAGATCACAGAGACTGGTGAATAATTTACTTGCCCCATAGACCATCACGTTTGAAAAGGGAACTTTACTTTTTACTTTAATACAGGCTGATTCAATGATCTGAATCTTTCACTTGATTATCAAGAGATTATGAAGCAGTCAGTACCTCTTGAAGATCCACCATATATAACTGTCTTTAGTGTGTACACAAAACACATATACGTAACATATTTCATGAATTTTAATAAGAACTTCAACATATAAAACATCATATTGTAACATTTTTACCGCCTACTTAATTATTTACATGTTAGGTAAAGCCAACAATAAAAACATTAATCAACATTCCATAACAAAGTGGATTTCAACACTGCTGTTTTGTTTCTGCATGAAAACATCAGCACTTGTTTTATGCGGCATAAAAATGACTTCAGAACAATGTCATTTAGTTAAGGAAGGAAATTTTATGCCTTATAGAAAAAATTATCAAATAGAACAGTGTGAAACAAACAGCAGCATAAAATGTAAGAATTTAAATTGTTATGGTTATTAGGAAGAGATTAAGTAATAAAAAAGATTTATTATGTATGTATATATATACACATATATATATAAACACACACACACAAATTATTTGTATGCAAATCATACAAAAGTAAAAATTAATTTCAAATTAATGGATATTTGTTACTAAGAATTCAAATACTAGTAAAAAAACACGTTAACTTGGGCCTACAAAGAAATGTATTGGGGTTTGTGTATATTAGGCAAGTTGTTGGAATAAAGAGAGATAATCATTAGAACATGCAGACCAAAATTTTTACGTGGTAGTCGTTCTTAATTAAATTGATAGAAATAGAATAACCCCGTGAGTTTGACACTTTAGAGAAAATAGAATGTGGAATAATTAGAAAATTTTTTAAAAACTTCCCAAACTGTTAAATTATTTTAAAAAAAAGTAAACGATTAATTAAAAGTGACTTGCATACACTAAAAATGATTTTCATCTTTTACTTCTATTTTACCTGAAATATATAAAGTTTCCAGAGTTACTTAAAAAAAGAATCAAACTGTTCAACAGTTCTGCCTAATTTTTAAAAAAATTTAAAAACATTTGAATAATAAGATTGTACAAAGATTGACTAAGATTTTGTTAAAACATGGTTTATAACACAGTACAAAAATATAAATTCATGGTTCCGTTCATAATATAAACACACAAGGCACTTATGACATTGACTTTTGAACATGATAATAAAAAGAACCAATTTTAAAAGCATAAGAACTTTTTGGTCATATAAAATGGAATTTTGTGTTTTAGTTTACTTATGATATTGACAAGTATTTTGGGACATTACTGAACACTAAAATAAATTTTTAAAATATTTGTTTTTAAAAAAAGACAAAAATATATCCCGTACAGTGATCCTCAAAAAAGTCTATGTGTATTTTTTGTTATTTCTCTAGAAAGCATACCTTAAACATTGGATGAATATAGCCATCGCTGAATAGTTTTTTTTTAGTTATGAATAATTTAAAAAAAAAAAACAGAATCAATACAGTTAAGTGTTTTTTTAAACAGAAGAAACATAATTTGTTCAAACAGTAAACGATTCTTTAAAAATTATAACAAGTAGAAATTATATTTATAAAATATTAATACAGACAAATTTTTCTCTTTTTTAAATCTTTACATATACTATGACAACTAATGACAAACTCAAAAGTCTGAATAACTGTTCTGAAAGACTAACTATATTGCATACATATATTTTTGCATATAACTGATACACATTGTAAAAATCATGGATTTTTACAAAATACCCATGTTAAAAATTGAACTTGAGATGGGTCAAGCTCAATAATGAAAACAAATAAATAATGTTACGATGTTTAGAAAATGCTCATTTCTCAGAAGGTAAAACAACAGCATGTAATAGAATAAACCGGTATATTAATTTACAGCATTGAAATAATGTGATTTTAATACAACATTTGGAAAATGAATGAACTGATAAAACAATCATCATATTAAGATATTTTTAAAAAAGTATTAGCAACTAGTTATCAAAATTTATATAAATTTAAGTCATAAGTTAACAGCATACCTCTGACTTAAGTATGAGATTCATGGTCAGAACTTGTACTTTTTTTGTGTACAAATATTATTTACACACTTTAAAAATTATAATTATCAATATCAGAGTTTACTTGATAATAAATTATCACACTTTACAAGGTGACAATATCCCTGATGTGTTATTAAGTCTATTAAAATAAAGATTTAAAAACAGTATTTTGTATAGTATTGAAAAACAATGTACACATATATTTCAATGTCAGAATGTTGCATTAAAACTAATTAGTATTTTTAAAAGTTATATGCAAATTATAGTACATGAGTATTATGTATTATTTTTTTTCCCCTTACCCTTGCCTTTCCCGTGATAAACTGGAATTTCAGGAGAGTTAGTTACTGTACTTGGTCTTGATGATGCTTCAGTTCTCTTTAAACTCTCAATCATGGGAGTATGAATCTCAAAAGTTTTCACAATTTCCTAAAAAATAAAACATTACTTCCTGAAAACCATAAACTTAAAAATTCTAATTTATTGAATAGCTGTTATTAATGAAAAGATATATGAAAGATAAATGTGAAAAAGCTAACTGAGTTGAACAAAATATACAACCTCCCACTCAGAAGGTGTGATCGATATTATAATCTGCTGCTTGTGAGTTTGCTCTTGATTAGCTCCCCCATCAGCTTTCTGAATTGGCTCTGAAAGTATAAGCAATCATTCACTATTAATATACAGCATAATAATGCAATCCCCTCCCTTTAATTTGGAGAACCATCCTATTCTTAAAAGGCTGTTCAAATAACTAATCCTGCATTAACAATATATTTCACTACATTATAACAACTCAACACATGATAATTTTTCTTAGTTTGAATCACCCACTAATAACTAATTAGAATTTTAGGATAACAGCTTCATATGTTAATGTTTCATAATAAAATAATGTATTCAGCCTACCTATAACAGGTAAATCATCTGTATCAAGTGTAACACTAGCATGTCCATCCTTAAAATAAATATATGTATATTCAGTGAAGAAGTATTATGATAAAAGCTTTTGTTTACATCAATTGATTTTATCCTGCAAACTTTAACTTAGGTCACAACGTCTGCCAATCTGGTTAAATCTTATAACCTTATTTTGACAATTGTATTGCTTCAGTTTCATTCACACTTTCCAGATAAATTCATTTCTGATGTTGACACAAGAATATCAAATTTTCAAATCTGATTAAATATCAAATTAGACATAAAATGTATTTTAAAATATTTTTTAATAACAAAAGTGGAAATAAAAACTATACTAACAATCACTGGATTAATAAGCTGACACTCATTTTTGCTATAAAGAGTTGATCAATTGCAAATTTTGGATTAAGATTGTAAATTTAATAAGTGAATCTGTGTTTTTTTGGACCATTTTTAGTAATTTGGTGGATTGAATAAATTAAAAATGATCAGGAAGATTTTACAATTTTTAAAAATTTCCAAATCAACATATATCAGAAAATTAAACAAAAAATCTTTACAATAGCATTCTTTTAAATGCACTAAAAAGTAACAGTAAAACAAACATTTTTCTTTAATAAAAGTGTTGATTACACATATAATCTCTGACCATCAATTTCACTATTTAAAAAAACAATTGTTTTAATTCTTTTAATTGCAAATGCCTATTTTTAGTGCATTTAAAAACCTGGTAAAATAAATAAAACAAATCTTTTCATTATTAATTGATAAAACAACAATTAAATATTTTGTTTTATAAAGACTGACATTTTTTAGCAGCAGACCCATAAGCCTTAATTAGCTCAAACTTACCCTGACTAAAAATGAAGTATAAAATATATTTTCAACAGTCTGGCCAAACGAGTGGGGATTGGTCACAAACTCAAAATAGCATAAGGGAGCTGTGAAGGATAAATATGTATAAGTTATTTCTTTTTCAATCAAAATTAAACATAAAAAGACATTCAATTAGAAGCCAACATGTCACTTACCCTTAATTTCATCATAATACCTCCATAATGTGCTGAGAATATGCTCAACATGGGCTGTGGTTAATTCTCCTCGATCTGTGTCTTCAAATGATGACAGCTAAAAATAATGTATAACAGAACTTTATAAAGCATGCTTTATGACCGGTTCTATCAGCTTTATAGGACAGTGTTGTCGCATTCTAGAGAATGAAAGTTTAGAGTTTGGATCATGTCCCAAGTCTACTAGTTATCACTGACTCATGCTAGGAAAAGTAAAGGTGGTTGGCATAATGCAGACCACACTAACCCTTTCTATGCTGAGGTCACGGAAACAAGTGAACTCTACCTAATACTGAACAAATTTATATTAAAAAGCTAATTTCACGAAGAAAAGTAAACACTTTAGAAAATTACTATTTAAAATTCTCACTTGAGTTGGTTTGGAAGCCTTTTGACTTAAAACATTTTCTTTTTCCTTTTCCCGTGTTGGCTTAGCTCTCTTTAAATTCACATCCCCTCGCTCAAAAGTACCGCACCTGAAAACACCTTTGAAATTAATACACGTTACACATACAATAAAGACTGAATTGACAATTTATATACATGATTGAAATTTGCTTATTACTTATATTTTTATATTTGATTTATAATGCTTGCTGAAGTTACAGATAACATTTCAATTTTTTGTAGCAGCTTTATAATGAAAAAGTACAGCCTAACAGAAATGAATAGTTAAACAAGGTCATAAGAAACAGAGCACAGCAGGGGTATATTAACAATACAAATTATATTACTTAAGTACATAAGAGGTTATTTACTGAATTTACATGTATTTTAGAACTGGTGTCCTTTTGAAAAATGGAAAAACAGCTTTTCCAAGTGTTTTCCAATTTTCATATGATAGTCCTTGTTGGTCAACATCTCCAGCAATGATTACTTTCTAAAATACAAGAATTTTGCTATTATTCAATTTAAAAAAACTTTATTTAAATACAGAAGATAATATATGCTGAACAGATAATATCTACAATAAAAATAATGCTAAATAAACTATAAGCCTATTTAATATTAAGCTATTACTTTCTATATTGAAAAAAAAACTAACTTACAACTTTTTCACAAAAATCTACTGGATTAAACTGAATAAAATCTGTTTTCAAAGCTTGAGCTTTAGCCTTTCCTAATTCAGATATGTTTGCAAGACTTGCTGAATCTAAAGCTCCCTCTCTGGTCATCTGAACTGAAAAATTATGTAATACCAGTGTAATGTCAAAATTACAATGACATGAATCAAGTAAACTATTTTATCAATGAATGTAACATAATTGGTAATTCTATAATGTTACCAATTTCACTTTGATTACAGATGTCTTGACAGAATTGGAATAAATGTTTATTAAATGGGTGATATACAATCTTTATCTATCACTTATATTAAAATTCTGCTTCATTTTCTAACTTTCAAATAAAGTTACACATTCTTCCATCAAAATGAAATAACTAACAATATTTTACCTTCTTTAAACATTTGGTCAACTTTAAAGACATTCTCTTTTAACAGGTTCTGCTCATCAGATGGATCTATCATTTCCCGTCTGCGTTCTGAAAGAAAGTTTAAATGCATTACTATTTTTAAATATCGCTAAAGGCTTAAGCCTAAAGGCTACATACAACTTTTTTCTGATTTATTATGTGACAGCCACTTTTGTTAAATGTTTTTATGATTTGAAAGTAGCCCTTTGCTACCTTACCCAAACAGGCCCTTGCCTGAATAGTATTCACTTACCAAGACCATACCTTAATCCTCTGAATGTAATCCATCACAGCTCAATAGTAAAGTTAAGTAAACTAAAACACTAATTTATTGCAAACCCAAGATCTCATGCTCAGTTCCTGAGTTTAAAGCTATATAGGGGAAACAGATGTGATGTCTACTTCAAACAGAAGACGATATCATCTTCTCAAAATGTGGACTACTGGGAAAGCGCTACTTTCAAAATTATTTTTTTCATCGTAGGCCTATGTCTATGTGTATGTAGAAGATTCTAGGTACTAGATATAGTAGTATTGCATTACCAACTTCAGAAACTCATAGATCTAAGCCTTAAAATTAAATAAATGGATCTTGGTTTTTAGATACTTATGCCTATAGGCTTTTTTTTTTACTTTTACTTATAGACATAGTTTACTACTATTACCTAATACTTGGTAGGTCTAGTGCTACTAGATCAACAAAAACAATTGCAAACAATCCTTGGTCCTAACACCCCCCATCCCCCCCCCCAAGTAGGCAATTACTTATGATTATGTATTACTTAGGGGTGTTGGTAAATTGTGAGACATGAAACGCAAAATGGCGAGGGGTGAATTTCAAGACAAAAATGCGAGATATAACTGCAGAATCAAGGGTAAATAGTGAGACACAATTTGCGTAACTTTATTTTTGTTTCATGCTTTTGTTGGTTTGTTTTTCCACCAGATGTAACAGAAAAAAAGATATAAACTCTACAAGTAAGAATATCATGAGTGTTGCATGCCTTTTTAAAAAAAAATTCTTGATCTAGATTAGATTTTTTTTTAATAATAAAAAATCTTTACATTGTTGCTCCTATGATCATCAGTTTGTTTTCTTGTCAGCGGAAGAAAAATTCTGTCTCAGTCGATGGGTCAATGTGAGTTCATGAAGAGAATATTAATTAATCTAGGGCCTATATCTAGATCTATATTTAAAATTCTTGACATTGTTGCCTGCTTCTACTTTCTTGTCTGCACCAAAAAAAATACCTCTGTTTGAGGGGTCACATTCAGTGCATATAAAAACGTAAGTCTTAGCCTGACTAACAGCAATATGATACACGTGCTTGGGGTCATTTTGAGTTCATACAATAATATAGTGTTAAAGCTCGGAAGGCCAATATCTTCCGGTCTTCTTTAACACTGAACTGCTATACTTGTAGAAAACATAGAATTATAAATAAATTATAGGCCTAAAGCCTTATTTAAAGCGTTATTTATTTTTTATACGATGAATAAATAAATTGTAGGCAGCGGCAATAACACAAACTTTCTTTGAAACAATACAGAACATGTTTGTTGTGTTAGGGGCTTCGAGATTAAAGGCGCTTTATTGGGCAGCTTCAATGTTCCACATAAAAGAAAGAAAAATCGGAAGTTATAACAATATTATAAATAAAAAAAACATCTTTGAAGTCTGCATCAAAGTTGTCAATTGGGTGCTGTATAATTTTTGCAGACATCTTCTATTTTAACCACACCCAGCATAAGTATCAGGTAGGGGAAAGATGCAAGACAAAATGTCCTGTGACCGCCGGTTCCTTCCCCCCCCCCCCTCCCCCCATTCTCGCAATATACTATTACTGCCATTACTGCATTCTGGCATCTCACAATTTGATTTACCAAGCAAGACCCATCAGTGGAAAATTCAGTGTCAGTCAGTTGTAATTAATTAAAATAAACTACCTAACAAATCATCTTGGAGCTTTCTATAATTTTCCCTTATTCTTCTTCTATCGTCTTCGTCTTGTGGGTTGCGAATGGAACTTATAACTTCTGTTGCTTCTTCCTTCGAATCGAAAAATCCTTGCGGAATATTAACGATTTGATTTCCGTTTGCAGCCATTTTTATATGAAAGAATAGTGTTGATCTAAAATTTAGTCTTCACTTAACTATACAGACTAGAATCTTGCTGTTAGAATCTAGAATTTATAGATCTAGATCTAGAATCTAGAAGTCTAGTTCTTGTCTGGAGCGAGCCGATTATCAATCGTTTATCCAACAGCAGACCATTTTAAATTTCAGAACAAAATAATCGATTAGGAAGTAGTTTAGAACTGGCAACTAATTCGATACTGTTAAAAGGCCAAACAGATCTTTGGACGATATTTCGAGCCAACCCTTTGTATCCCTAGAAGAACGAATACTCGGCTTCAGCCAAAATTTGTAAGGTTGTCTCCAACAACCAAAAACTGGATTGTTTTGTCAAAAACTAAAATTCAGATTATCTACGTGTTAAGGCGGACAAAAAAAGTCATCGTGGCACACAGACCAGTTGTATTTAATTCTTGATCGCTTACTATTCCTTATAGATATATGGATATTTTGCAGTTAATTATAATGTTAGACAATAAACATAACGTCTAACACATTAATAAATTAGCCCCTGATTCGTTTACTGTCTTAACGTACTGTAAGTCAAACGTTTGATATGAATAAAAAAAGCATATCAAATCAGATCAAATTTATATTATTGTCTTACTAGTGGCAATCCTCCCCTGCCCCCTCCCATACACACACAAACACACACACACAGAGAGACTTACACACAGGAATTTAGCATTGTTACGTTACTTAGCAGTGACGCGCAAGCATCGAATGAGTTGTTGATTTGCAATTTCCTAATGTGGTGTCATCCCAATCCGCTCCGGTAGACGGTGTATTTTTTGCGTCAATCACCCCACCTGGTCGTTGCTTGACGCATTAGTTATTGAAAAAATTCAACAAGGTTTTTTTTCCCTCTGTAAATTTTGTAGTTGGTGTCACTCCACCCCCTCCCCCGGGGAGATGATTATCTATAGTCGGTTATTAATACAGCTGGATATAGCATTGTTTTCTCTATAGTTGGCAAGTTTGTCCCCAATCCCCGTCTTTTTCTACTAGATGAAACTTTAATTAATCGTTAATTCAACAGACCAAAAGCATTTCTTTTTTCCTGTGTGTCACCCCTAAATGGTGTATTCCGCTACCCCCCCCCCCCCCCCCCCCCATCTCCGTTCGACGCCTCTGCCCGCACAACGTGTTATTTCCCTCTCACAACAGCATTTCCGCCCACCATCTTGAAGAACAGGGATGGTAGAGAGCTAGACTGTTAACCTGTAAGTCTCAAGTTCAAATCAGTAGACCGTCCCTGAGACCACCCAGCTCTGATGGGTATCTAACTCACGTTAGGGAAAGTAAGGGCGGCGTTGCATAGTGCTGACCACAATATCCTTTCATATGCCAAGGTAGCAGAAACGGGTGAACTCTACCGTCAAGTTTGGAAGGGGAACTTTACTTTTACTTTTAGCTTGAAGGACACAAAGCACATAACCCCTAAGACACGACTCTAAAAAAAAATCCAACCCCCCCCCCCCCCCCCTATAAAATTAAGTCACGCTTTAACCTACTCCCACCACCGAGCGTCAATTTCTTTTAAACCAGCTATTTATTTGTACATTATTAATTAATCATGTCACAATTAGAGCTGTTGACAAAATAATAATGTAAAAATTGCTAAAATTAAGCAGGCCCACATTTTTAAATCAAATTATTTTCCACGCATAATCAGTTACAGACAAAATAGTGTGTAGTATAGTTATTGTACACGTTTTGAGAAGCTGGGTAGGTTGGGTTTGAAAGTGGGTGGCTGCTGGTCAGAAGGGGGTGGGGGAGGATCATATAGAACCGATGGCGAATAAAGCTGGTGGGGGACGAAATGCCTGCGTGGGTAATGAGAGATGGAATTGGAACTGGTCAAGACGCGGGGTGGAGAGACAGACAAAAGAGGTGGGAGGGAGATGATGTACATGACATATTTGACAGCTGGGCGCACATGGGCACAGATTAAGGGAGCAGCCCAAAACCGAGTCCGCTGGAAATGTGTAGTTGCAGCCCTTTGCTCCCAAGGGGCCACAAAGGAATGATGATGATGATTTCATGAGACAACTGTACGTAAAACAATTGTAGTTGTGTAATAATATACGAAATATTCGTGTTATTTGACACGTGGATGGATAAATCAGTGAAGCCAACAAACGATCTCTGTAAATGTGTTACCGTAGCATGTTCCAATCTACGTTATTTTGACAAGCTGTCCGTCCTTGATTTCAGCCTAGCTACATGTTTCGCGATAAGAAAATCTCTCCGTTCCACCATTCTTTCAGCTTCTACAGCTTTTAGAAGATGCGGGTATTATCTGGTATTTCACAAGGCAAGAACTCAAGGCCACGATTTACACATTGTTTTAGTGACCGGATCGACAAGTAAGCGGCCTGGATCTTGCGCTTAATATTCCATGAAAATCTATTTAAAAGTGGAAATCTGAACTGAAACGAAAGAATACTTATTTTTAAATGTGGCCATAAACTCACTACATTTACGAAATACAGACCGTGTTTACATGTCTTTCTAGCCTAAATTTAGCTATTCATTAGATCTGCATCTTATTTCAACCTCGCCGCGAACATTAATTTCTCACCATACAATTATCTTACAGCTGCATTCAGTTTCCAAAGAAATTTGTTATTCCCATAAAATTTATGTTGTTTCTGTTATTTAACTTTGAATTCCCGTCACATACTAAGCTTTACCCGCACATTTAACTATTGCAGTGCATTAAACCCCAGCTAATGTTGCACACGTATGCACTTGTATTACGAGATATAATTTTTTATGAACTATATTGTCGGAAAAAGGGATGGCGTGGTCGGATGGTAGAGTTTAAGACTGTTAATGCATATGTCCCAAGTACGAATCAAGGACTCGAGTCCGAAGAATGTCCCTGAGTCCACCCAGCTCTAATGGGTACCCTACTCAGGTAAGGTAACCAAAGTCGGCTGGGCATAATGCTAACCACGATATTCCTTTATGACAAGGTCATCAAAACAGATTAGCTCTACTTCATCTGCTATGTGTATCTTGGACATTAATGGGAAAATATGAGGATGCTTTTGCCGGAAGCCAATACGTATTGGTCAAATGTATGTGCCCTGTTGTTGTAGCTATGTTAGATTTGACCGTTTACCTGGCAACAAACATGGTAAAATGTCTCCCGGCTGTTGGGTGGATAACTCATCTCATAGTAAATTGTTTCCCTTTTATTAATTTGTAGGGGTGGGTATTTTAGGGTAACATCACTGTCACAGTTTACGGTATTCAGGGCATAGTGGCCATGAGAAATCCCATCAATGTTATTGTCAATGGGAAATCTGTAATATAATACTACAGGTTAATGGGATGTACAAGCAAGAGTCAACTTGTCGGAGGACAAATGTAGTGATTAATACTCTTTTTCTGGAGCTCTGACTTGCAGTTACTGACTGTAGTTTAGAGTTACCATAGGTCAATGAAATGTAGGCGTAAGATAGAAGAGTAATCATTAGAGTAGGATTACAACTGTGCCTCAAAACAATAGTCTCTTTCTAAAGTTTCGAAAGCAAAACAAAATGTACGCGCAATGTTTGTAGAAACTAGAGCAGGGGTCTCCAAACTTTTCAGTCCGAGGGCCGCATTAACTATCAAATTTCAGTTCAGGGGCCAGTTTCTTCCAGGTATGTCTTTGATTTTTCTGGGCAAAGTTCCTCAGCCATCACCAACAAACGTTTTTTCCGTGGACAAAAAGATCGCCGCGGGCCGGATGAGAGGACATCGCGGGCCTCGTCCGGCCCGCGGGCCGTAGTTTGGAGACCCCTGAACTAGAGGAAAGTGCCATGCTTCAAAGTATAAGTAAAATTAGACTGTTGTTTACCATACTGTATCGTGTTTATTAGTCATATAGAAACAACAATGCATAGATAGTCTTTGTTACTGTTTGAAGTATACGAGTAATAAATATTTTCTCCATTGTTGTGAACTATAACATCCACGACGGTCCAAATACCGGCACTCACAATTAATATTTTGGTTGACATTTTTGTCGTTTTTTAAAATTTCGAGTTCCCACAAATCGTTAGCATTTTAAATTATTTTATCGGGGCTTTTTTTCTCGATGCTGCTTGTTAAGGATCCGTTTTCTAAAGTCTAGGCTAAGTCTGTTATGCACTCAGCGGCGTCTTTAGGTCGTGTGTCACCGGGTAAGGAAATATTGGGTATTATCCCCCCCCCCCTTTTTCAATAATTCTACATTTCTTGTTTTGTGTCACCCCTTTCTCCCCATCTATTTTGTTATGTAAATGAATACAACATTGTTTTGGCAGTAAATTCGTTGGTTTTTCGTTGTGTTGACACCCCCTAAATGCTGTTGCCCCCGCCCCACGCCTTGTGACGTCACTGAACCCATTTCAAAGCTTAGACTGCAGTCTTTGTTCAATTCCTGTTGGAAAAAGAACCGATGCTTCTAACAATTAAAAAATAATTCATTGTTAGTAATAACCACAGAGGCGTAGCGACCCCTCCCGGCGCCCGGGAACAAACTTTCAATTTAGCGCGCCCTCCCATATGAGCTTTTAATATTTTTTCAACCCATTTTGGCGCCCCTAGGGTCGGTGCCCGGGGACATATGTTCCCACTTCGCTGCGCCTCTGAATAACCATCTAAAAATTATGAATTTAAAAAAAACGATTTACTGTTACTAATAGGTTAAATCTATTGTACAGAACAATATATATTCGACTAATTATTTGAATTATTTTTCAAACAGTTTTGGGTCATAATATTCGGCTTTAATTAAGCTCATCAGTGGCTTTTTACCCACAAAAAAAATGACAATCAAGGCAAATAGTACGAAATTGGAACCTAATTCTATATTTCGGTCGAATTCTGAATCTCATAAGCAGCCCCGGTATTTTCATTGCTCTAAATATTTCACGATATTAAATTTTTATGTCTGCCTTTTCAAAAGCTAGTCAACATCACGAAATTATCGCATCAACGACAAGTACAACAGCCAAATAAACAGACCCCAAACCAAAACCCGTTTTTGTTCAGTGGCTTTATTTACAGCCATTGAGTAATGGCAAAGTTTAACTCTTGTTTCATGTATTCAAGGAAAATAACAACACGCTCAGCAACACAAAATTAATTATTTGGTAACAAACAAACAAACAAATAATAGTATCTGCTAGTCCAATAGACATGGCTCATTCTTCTAGAACCGTGACCTCTAGCTCGCACGAGCAGCCAGACTTGACCCGGATGTAGTCCAACCGGAAACTCTCCGACACGTTGAAGTCTCTGACCATAGCGTAGACGTAGCTATACCTCTGTACGCACCGTGAAGCATCGTGGTAACTGCGTTTGATGAAGCGGCATGGTTGGTTTAGAGTTTCCTGTTTGCAGGAGGTTTGGTAGAATTTCTGCACGGTACGGTGGTCGCGGTAAAGTTCCAGAAGCCTCCCGTCACGCGCGATACCGCCGCGCGGGTGGATGAGGTGGGTCTCAGATGGACAGCAGTCTATGCGGTAAGGAACACCCACAACGGTCTCAGATCTTTTGGAGGTTTTTCGAGATTCTCTGGAAAAAATAAATAAATTTAAAGCAGTTTTTATTACAGTTGTCACTTTCATAAGAATTTAAAAAAGAAATAAATTTAAATGTAAGAACAAACTTTAAAAATAAATAGCAAGTTAAGACCAAACAGTTTAATATAGGGCATAGGCCAATATTAATTATTTTTTTAATAGGTAGATTCAAAGCTTCAGTAACAATGGAACTGTGTAGCTTTGCAAAAAACGGTAACTCTCGGTTACAAAAGAATTTTGATTATATTAGCCTCCCTTTAGTTTCAAGATGTATTTTTAGTTGTGGTTTTTTTTTTTCGTGTACCAAGCAGTGACGTAACTAGAGGGAGTACTTAGATTGTCGAAGAAAGATAACCCACTAAGCCAAGAATAGACCCATTTTGTGTGTGTGTGTGTGTGTGTGTGTGTGTGGAAGCATGGAGTGTGTTGTATGGAGTGCAACACTACCGAACTTTCTCGAGCCTCTTTTTCATTCACGAAATAATCATTACTCAACTCACCAAAAATTGATTTCATTAAGTGCTCAATATGTAATGTTTTATAAAAAAAAATGTGTGAATGGTGAATTATTTTGTCATCTTCAGCGGCAATTTTTTTTTCGTCATCTGATATACAACACTGACAGCAGGCCTTGTCAGTGAGACAAGAGGCATAGCAGCGAATAAAAGGTGTCGATGTTGCTGTCTCCATTACCAGGCGGTCGCTGACACGAGAAGAACAAAGAGACTGACGTGTTTTAGCTATAGCTGTCTACCCAGTTGTTACCACAGTCAGGAGGCTTGTATTACGGTTAACTTTCATTCTTTTAATGACAGATTGTCTATTGTGTATTACTGTCAGAAATCACACACTGGCAAACACACTCTGCAAGCAGAATATTGGCGCACACATATATTGTATGTGTACGTGTTCGTGTACGTGTATGTATTCACGTGCGTGTATGTATGTGTATGTGAGAGCTGCTTCAGAAGGTTCACTTGAATGGTGTATGATCAAATGCTTTATCACCGGGTCATGTGATTACATTATTGGAGAAGTGGATCTCAAGCTGTTTTCTAGCACACATCTCTTGTTTTAAGGACAGTAACCCTGCTGTCTGCTGTCATCGATTGCCGATGCTGTTTACCGTATTTAGATCCGCTCGATCGTCTCCAGATTTGTTTCGTTGCCTGCAGGTCATGTTTTTTTAAAATCTTATTAATATTTGTCTCAACTCAATAAACTTGAATAAACCATCTTCTTTTTTATTTAAAAATATTGCTATAAATATTTTAGTCTAACTGCTGCAGCTTATAAAATGACTATATTCTTATAGACAGTTTACAGGCAAACTGCTTTGAAAACGTTTGCTTTATCGATAGTCATTATGACCAGGTCTTCCAAGCCCATATAATCCAGTGTTAAGATATATGCCAGATAAACTGATACACTAGTTGCTAGAATTAGATTTGTTTTTCCCCAGGTATGGAATGAGAGACCCCATTAATGACTGGATACTTTCCGGCTGCGTGAGGTAGATTCGATCAAGTATTTACGAGAGAGAGAGAGAGAGAGAGAGACTGGACCAATTATCTGCGTGAGACATTGGACAAAATATCTGCGTGAGACAGATTGGACCAAATATCTGCGTGAGACCGATTGGACCAAATATTTACGTGAAACAGATTGGACCAAATATCTGCGTGAGACAGATTTGACCAAATATTTGTGTGAGACAGATTGGACTAAATATCTGCGTGAGACAGATTGGACTAAATATCTGCGTGAGACAGATTGGACCAAATATCTGCATGAGACAGATTGGACCAAATATCTGCGTGAGACCGATTGGACCAAATATTTACGTGAAACAGATTGGACCAAATATCTGCGTGAGACAGATTTGACCAAATATTTGTGTGAGACAGATTGGACCAATTATCTGCGTGAGACATTGGACAAAATATCTGCGTGAGACAGATTGGACCAAATATCTGCGTGAGACAGATTGGACCAAATATCTGCGTGAGACAGATTGGACCAAATATTTACGTGAAACAGATTGGACCAAATATCTGCATGAGACAGATTGGACCAAATATCTGCGTGAGACAGATTTGACCAAATATTTGTGTGAGACAGATTGGACTAAATATCTGCGTGAGACAGATTGGACCAAATATCTGCATGAGACAGATTGGACCAAATATCTGCGTGAGACAGATTTGACCAAATATTTGTGTGAGACAGATTGGACTAAATATCTGCGTGAGACAGATTTGACCAAATATCTGCATGAGACAGATTGGACCAAATATCTGCGTGAGACAGATTGGACTAAATATCTGCGTGAGACAGATTGGACCAAATATCTGCATGAGACAGATTGGACCATATATCTGCGTGAGACAGTCTGGACCAAATAGCTGCTGGACACCACGTTTTTATACACGTACGTTGTAGCCTGCTTTGTATTAATTAGCTAAACTAAGCATAAGTAATATTTAAAATGGTATGTTTTTTAATTCAATAAATAATGTAATATTCAGATACATTTGAATAATCAATAGCGGTACGATATTTCCGGGGGGGGGGGGGGGATCATTTTGGGGTGACACCAAATAGAAAAATCTTAAGATTCAACTCCAATAGCTTATCTAGTAGAAACATGAAGTACATGTAGTAGTAGTAGAGAGGTGTGAAACCAATAAAATAAAATGCAAACTTACACGAGGAGTGGGGGGGGGGAGGTGACACCCTGAGTCACCGTATCGGGTGACACCCAACCCTGTGACACCAAAGCTAATATCTGGCTAAAGGCTTCAACTCTTCAAGTGATGTAATAGTCTCAGGGCCATTGAAAATGTTACGCCACGGACCCCACCCTAGCTTAATCCGCCTATGCATACCACCACACCATCATATAAACATATTTCTCTTTATTTCTCGATTAAGTGACCACCGATGTTTTGGAGTTCACGTTTGTTTCGGTTAGCTAGAGAGACCTAGTCAAACGCTAGCTTAGTGGTAATAGGATTGTGTTTGTTGACTTCCGTTTTTAGACCACAGTGTCATTGTTAGGACCATAAATCAAAACAAATATCGTCGTCACGTGACCAGCGTCTTCGATTATCAATTAACTTCTTATTTTATTCCCTATGTGTTAGGCTTATATGGAAACCATAGTACATGTACACTTGATGGTGAAGAAGAGTACTGGGGTACATACATTAGTAGCATATGTGTACATTGCCATACAGTAGCACTTATAGGCTATACTTTATAATTAAATAGCGTTTGTACACATACTTAAACGGTAGCATAGGTATGCGACACACTCATTTATAGTAGAAATTGTACATTGTATCAGACAATAGCGCTTGTACACAGTAGCACATGTAAATTGTTATACAGTAGCACAGGTAAATTGTCATACAGTAGCAGATGTAAATTGTTATACAGTAGCATAGGTAAATTGTCATACAGTAGCACAGGTAAATTGTCATACAGTAGCACAGGTAAATTGTTATACAGTAGCACAGGTAAATTGTCATACAGTAGCACAGGTAAATTGCCATAAGTAGCACAGGTAAATTGTCATATAGTAGCACAGGTAAATTGTCATACAGTCGCACAGGTAAATTGTTATACAGTAGCACAGGTAAATTGTTATATAGTAGCACATGTAAATTGTTATACAGTCGCACAGGTAAATTACAGTAGCACAGGTAAATTGTTATACAGTGGCACAGGTAAATTGTTATACAGTAGCACAGGTAAATTGTCATACAGTAGCACAGGTAAATTACAGTAGCACAGGTAAATTGTCATACAGTAGCACAGGTAAATTGTCATACAGTAGCACAGGTAAATTGTCATACAGTCGCACAGGTAAATTACAGTAGCACAGGTAAATTGTCATACAGTCGCACAGGTAAATTGTCATACAGTCGCACAGGTAAATTACAGTAGCACAGGTAAATTGTTATACAGTCGCACAGGTACTGTCACGTGCTTCTTCGAATCTTACTTAAACCAAACCATGTAGGTTAGGTTAGGTTTGCCTGTCGCCCCTCCTGGGACATAGGCCACTGACAAGAGCTTTACAGACGTCTCTGTCCTGGGCTAGTCTCTCCAACTGTCCCCAGGTGTATCCAATCTTCTTGAAGACACCAGGTAGAAGAAACCATATACCTCAATCCTTTATGGATTAAAAGTTTTAAATATGAAATTGGCACTGCTTGTACTATCCCATCCAAACTTTCCTGTTTTGTGTTTTACTTACTACACTGAACGAGTGGTAGAACAAACGAATGCTACACACACACCCAGGGAGTTTCATGTTTAGTCCCCTAGCTGGGTCCCTGCATCCACCACGCTAAAGGTACCTAACCCATGTTAGGGGAGGTAAAGGCATAGATCTGACCACACTACCCGTTTATATCCCGAGGTCACAGAAACTCATATTGCCAATATCCGAAATGGGCAACTTTTAATTTTTTTTTTTTTACACAAACCTGAAAAAGATACACGTATAAAAATGTAGTGTCACTGGTCTAATATAGACCGGCGTCCTATCATGTGACAGATATTGGCAACCTAAACAGCAGATCTCGCTCTACACGAAACTGCCCGACCCACTCGGAATGATGGTTCCGAGGGCCGGGTTACACCAAGCGGATCTTAAGTGTTTGTTCTTTCCTTCAAACTGCCCTCGTCCATCGTTTAAGAAAAACGCCTACTACATGAGACTAAATTTGGCAACATCTATTTCAGATAAAAACGCTTCTTTTGTTCCGTTGATTTTTTAGCATTAAGAAAAACTAAACATGTTTCTTTTAATATTTCTGTCGGAATAAATACGAGTAGGCCTACCTTACATATCGTCATTGTTAAAATTCTACTTAAAATGTAATAAAAAGTCATTTAAGAAAAACGCCTACTACATTCGAAAAAAATCTGGCAACATCTATTTCAGATAAAACGCTTCTTTTGTTCCGTTGATTTTTTAGC